AAGTTTAAGATCTTAAACTTGCTTAAAACTTTGTTTAAGTATATCTCTTGATCAAGCTTAATAGTCTTCTTCTTTTTATCTTTAATAATTTTAATTCCGAAGATTATTAATATCTCGCTTATTAGCTTAATAATAAATCGCGAATATAAGCGGTCTTTAAATTAGTTAAAGTCTTTAATATCCGAAGCAGCTGTAATTAAGTCGTTTACGTATATTAAAAGTTTGATTTCTTTCTCGAAGTGCACGAATAAGCAAAGGTTTGCTTTGCTTTATAAGAATCCTTAATTAAAAAGCTTTCTTTTTATTAAAAGGTTTTAATCGCGTGCAAATTGTTTAAAGCCGTATAAAGATTGTAAAAGCTAAAGCGCGGATCTTCGTTTCGTGCGTTTTAAGCTTTTCGAGATTTTTATTTATAACTCTTTTTTAAGTGTAGATTCGATAAAAGCGTTTTTGATATCGAATTAGCGTGTCTTTATATCTTTATAAGCAACTATTGCAAAAAATGCTTTAAAAGTCGCTATTTTAATTATAAGCGCAAATGTCTCGTCGTAATCAACGCTATACATCTAAGAAAAGCTTTTCGCTATTAGCTTAGCTTTAAAGCGTTCGAAGGTCTTATTTGCTTTAAACTTAAGTATGAATATTTATTTACAGCTAATAAGATTAGCTTTAAGTAAGAGGATGCGTTTTTCTTATATATAATTAATAATAAGTATAGCAAACTCGGCATTAATAGCTTCTTTTTATCTTTTGCTATATATAAGATGCTTTATAGCTTTTTTATAAGTAATAAAGATAAAGATATCGTGCTTAACCGCGTGCGCTACTATTGCTATTTCTTCGGTATCCGATATATCGTCAGCTTTATTAAATTAATTAAAAATAGCTATTATTGCTTTTTTGTTTTCTATTAATAAAACGCTTTTTCTTTTTTTTATAATAAATAAAGTTTAGAACGTAAAAGTCTTAATATATCGTTTACCGTAGTCGGTGTTACTTGTATATTTGTCTAGCTTAATACCGAGTAGACTTTAGCTTTGTCGAGGCTGTACCGATGTTTTAAAAGCATTAAAAAGCTTTTTATCGGCTTTCTTTTTAGTTCCGATGATCTTTTAAAAAGTAATCTATATAAGTTAGTGATCTTGCTGAAAAAAAGTTAAGTCAATCGTTTTATCGTTAAAGTCTTCGCTTAATTTCGTTTTAAAAATAAGCGATGTTGATTTCGAAAGCGAAGTCGCTTCGGCTCTTTTAAGTTCTTTATTCCGAAAAGCAGTATTCTTCGTTTAAGATCGTGTAACGCGAAAAGGTATCATTAATAGTTTAGACGGCGTTTTAAAAGTATAATCAACCTTCTTATCGGATAAGCTATTTTTAGTTTTAAAAGCTAATCTTTTTTTAACTCTCGTAACGGAGTCTAAAAGATGTTTAATTTGCTTTTTGCGAACCGAGTTTATTATAAGTAAGTCGGCAAACTTAAGTCGCTTTTTACGTGCACGAGTAATATGCTAGTTGTACGTGCTTTTTAATACTTAAAACGTGCCGTCGGATAGTTCAATTTAAAGCTTAAAGTCTTCGATAGCTTTATTAAAAATATCTTTAAAGAATTTGACGTTAAATAATATAATAGTGCTATGCATTTCGAAAATGTATACTTTGTAATAAGAAGTAGTATTTTCGTCGTAGCTTATAAAGATCTTTTTTCTATTCGAAAGCATAAGCTTGTCCTTCTTAATCTTAGCTAAAAAAGATTCTCGAAGAACGTAAGCAATAACCTTACAGCTTTATACTTTAATATAGTCTTTTATTTTAAGCACTTTTCTTATTTAAGCTTTTTAAAAAGATATCTTATATTTTATACGGAAAGGTTATTCCGTTATTTTATTTATAACATCTTTTATTACTTTAAAATTACGGCGTAGCTTAGCACGAGTATACGCTTGCGCTTTAATAGCTTCGCATTAAAACTCTATAAGCAGCTCAGCATCATCGAGCGCTATCTTAATGCAGTGCTTAATAGTCTTAATAAAGCGCTCGGCAACGCTATTTTAATAAGACGAATAAGGTTCCGTGTTATAAATAGCTATTCTTTCTGCTTTAGCTTATGCGGTGATAGTTTTAAAGATTTCCGGCGCATTATCGGTCTTTATTATTAAAAAAAGCTGGCCCGATTATCGCTCGAGCTCTTTCTTTTTTTTAATCAACGCTTTATTAATTTCTTTTCGATCTCGGAATAAAAAGGTCTAAGTCTTGCGGGTCTAGCTATTTATAAGCTCGCTAAAGTATCGGTAGCCTTTTATAAATAGCGAGAACGGACTAGCTATATCGAAATTGAGCTTTTTAAATATAATAGTATTATGCTCGGCGAGCTTTTTAAGCTTCTTCTTGAATATCTTTTGTCGAGCGCAAGACTTATATAAAAGAATAACTAAAAAGATAATAATCTTTTTAATATCGGTTACTATATATAATAATAAAAGCGCTTCGATGCTATAATAATTAAAGCGTTTATAATAAGCAACGAACCGAAATAGCTCTCGTTATAAGCAACGTTCTTTTAATATGAAAAAAGCGGCTTTTAAACGAATTTCGCTTTATTAAATAGCAACTTTCTTAATCTTGCGCGCTACTTTATTTCTTTCTCTCTTCGATATACTTTCTTTAAAGCCTTTGAATTCTAAAGCAAGTGATAGACGCTTTACTTCGCTAAGTTCTTAGTTATCTATCGAAGAGATTTCGCTATTACTATTTAAAGCGTCGTAAGAGTTAGCGATAACAAATAAAAGATCCTCCGCTGCTTTAAAAGCAGCATATCTAATTAAGTATCGAGTACGCTTCGAAAAGCACGACTTTAATAATGCTAATGATATCCAGCTGCTAACTGAGTTTATTTAAAAAGAAAGATCAATATGATCTACGTGTACGAGCATAACGCTAGCATTAGCATCGTCGTAGTCGGTATGACGTGTGCTTTTAATAGCGAAAGACATCTTATCAGCTTTTTTAAAGAACTTCGAAAAGATGTATAATCTATTTTGCACCTTAGCTTTAATCAAAAATATATTATTAAACTTGCGTATGAAAATCATCTTTTAGTCATCGAATTGTGTCGGTATATCTATATCGACCTTAGCTAGTAGTAGTAGTAGTAGTAGTAGTAGTTGGGGAAGCTCACTCGTGAACCATGGTTCACGGGCCACTTGGCATGCCTCGCTTAGCATGTCAAGCAGTCAAGGGACCTTTAACTTGACAAGTAAACCTATTAGCTAGCTAGTGCACGTGATTCTTTTTAATCGTATAGAAGGAATCAGCTCTCTTGAGCCTTAAGGAGCAGACAGAATTCAGATACTTTATCAACCGAGTGTTTTGCAATTGCAAGTATTTTAACGATCTTACGAAGTTACGAATATATTTTTAATCGCTTGAAAGCAATTTAATATTGATCAGTGGTTGATTTACTATTAAGTGATCAATCATAAAGAAGCTAGGAATACTCTATAGCGAGGATACCTTTTAATACGATACCTCTTTCTTTTTATAACGGAAGAGCGATTCCGTACCAAGTCGCTTGCTTATACTATCGATTTTCTTTATTCTTACGGAAGAGTGATTCCGAATTAAGTCACTTTTAAAAACAACTTCAACGCTATAAGAGCCGCGCTTGCTATATATAACAACTTAACCAAATTTAGATCGACTTATACATAAACAGATAACAATTATAACCGATCGAGCAACTAGACCTTTAAGTAAGGAGTCCAGCCGACAAAGAGCAGTAAGGTATTATACCTCTCGAGTCTTATTACTACTTACGGAACCTTTAGCTATTCAGCTAAAAGAAACACTATACTTAAGGCTTTCAAGCCTCTCGGAAAGATCAGACGATGAGATGTCGAGCATCTCATTTGACTTAAATAAGCTACTATACGCAAAGCTCGATAGCGAGATTACGGCTCGAGCAATAATAAAGGACTTCTTAAATGCGAAGTGTAAAGGGCTAAAGGACTACGACTTGTAAAGCTTATTCCGGTACGCTTTCTTACGCTAAGATTAGACGAGTTTTACGATGACAAAAGATAATACGAAACGAAGCTTTAAGTTTGCTACTTTTATTAGCTTTAAGGAACACTTACTATCTAAAGGCGTGTAATGCCCTTTAAAGCAAAAGGGCTACGCTAATAAGATAGTTAAGCTCTTGAACGACGAGCAGCAACACTAATAGACTTTCTAAGAAATAAAAGAGCAATAAGCAACACTTTTAAGCTTCGATTCAAAGTGGACCGCCGAAAACCTTACGGACGACGAAGATACTATACCTTAACTACCTTCACTCTCGCGCAGTCTAAAAAGGAAGGAAAAAGAGACCTTAAGTAAGAAAGAAGAAAAGGAAAAGATTCGGAAGTTACGCGAAAAGTTTTTAAAAAAGAAGAAAGATATAAAACGAAATATAAAAGCTATAGCAAAGCAAATAGCGGAATTACGAACTTACGCTATACAATTAAACGAAAAGCTACGACGAAGCACTTTAGCGTACTCGACGCTTTTAATTTATTAATCGCTACGCAATACGCTAATCATACAAGAAGAGCCAAAATCACTTTAACGGCTTTTAAACCTTTTTTTCAAAAGCTACAACCGAGTTTCTTAAAAGCTAAGACCGAGTAGCAATAACAACGGCCTTGAAAACATAATCGAGCTTGATAATACGCAAAGCAATAGCAGCTACACGCTAAAAGAAAACCCGCTAAAACTTAAGAGCATTCCGGACAAAATCAGCTTTTATTAAGGACAGCGTGCAGATTTCCGTGCTTAACTTTAATAACTCGAAAAGAGAATCTAATACTTTCGGACGTATTAACAAGCTCTTTAAATCCTTTAACAAGCTACGTATCGACAAGAAAGATATTAAAGGTATAAGAATCGTTAAGAGCGTGCTTAAGGGTACGGATATCATTAAGCTAAAGCTTTAGCCGGCGACTCGAATAGCTTTAACGATCTTAACGATGACCGATAAAAAAGGAACGAAAGAGATTAGCAAAGAGATCGAGGCTACGGGTACGGAAGAGGTAAGAACGGCCTTTTTAAACTATTAAAAAGATTCGGAAACGGACCTTTAAAAGACCTCGGATTCGGAAATGAGCTTCTTAAAGACCTTAAAAGAAGACGGATTACCGGCAACTATATCGGTAACCCTTTACCGATTAAACTATTAGCTAAGCATAGTACGCTTGCGTACGGCACTTTAAGCGCTTTTAACGACGATAACGATGACTTCTTTAAGCTAAGAGCAGCAGACCTTTACTTAAGAGCGAAAGAATTAACTTTGTTTGCAAGAAGCTTTTTTAAGGAACTAAAGTATTCGAGACTCGACGATGATTTTAAAACTCAATTAAAGATTTTTGTTAACCAAGTAAGTCGATACGGTTTGACCTCCGACGACTACTTGGCGGCGTTCTTTATTATGCTTACGAAAGAGGCTATTACATTTTATTACAATTACGTTATTAAAGCTAAGCTTCCGATATTTAAAGCAAACGCTATTGCGGTAAAAGACTACTTCGAGACTAACTACCGGCGGCAAGTAAAATACGACCGCTAAAAGGAAATTTCGCTAGATTTAGTTAAAAAAGAAAATCTAAAGACTTCGCTTAGCGAGTGCTTTAAGAAGCTCGCTAAAGAGCTTAAAGGACTTTAAGGCTTATTACGACTAAGTCTAAGAGACGATAAGAGTCTTGCCGATAAGCTATATTTAGCTTGTAAAAACGTGTTAGAAACGATTATTGCGCGGATGAATCTTGCTTTTACTTTTACCGCTGCAATTGCCGACATTCGCAAAGCTATTGCATTTGCAACTAAGACCTTTCGACTTCTTGTTAAAGCTAAAGCTTACGCGAGCTTTAACGAGCTATACGATCACACTTGCTCTTAGCACAACACTTTAAAAGCTGATTCCGATTTAGACGAAGAATACGAATGTTTTATTCAAGACCGCTAATACTTCGGAAGTAAGAAAGCTGCTAAAGCTATTATTAAAAGTAAAAAAAAGTGTTTTGTTTGCAAGAAATTAAATTGCTAAAGCATCAATTATACTTTCGACGAGAGAAAAGCATCCGTTGCTAAGTTCTAAGCTTTTAAAGACGCAAAAAAGGTGACGAAGAGCAAATTCTTTTAATACGTAGCATCGATCGAAGGTTTGCTATTTGTATTTATAAAAGAATTCGATTAGTTCATCGCAAGCCTATTAAACGAGCTACTCGAATCGAGCAGCTACGCTAATATATCGGAAGGTTTTGTGATTACTTACGGCACTTTTAACGCTAACGAAGTATATAAACAGCTAGAGATTTAAACGGCATTTTACGCTTTTACTAGCTAAATCGAGACTTAAAACGTGCTCGCGAGTAAAGCAAAGACTTACATAGCTTTTAAGTATTTTGAAAACGTGTTCATAAGCTTTATGATTAACAGCGGAGCAGCTAATTTCTTTACCGCTAGCTTGCTTTAGCTACGAGCATTTTAAAAGAGATACTTCGAGGTTTAATTAAATACATCTCGAGTAAAAGAGAAGTCCGTTAAATACGGCATCGGCTCTGCTACTTCGATTAAAGCAATTACTTTAGAAACACTCTTAGATCAAGTAGAGTTCTACGTTGTAAAAAGCGACGTACTTTTCTTATTCTTATTAGCTAATATAAACAAGCATAAAGTGATCTTAAATAACTTGCGGAACGTGCTAGTTTAAAAGAAAAAGGAAATACTAATAGTAAAGATGTTTAGGCACGTGTAGATGCTATTAAGTAAAGAGCACGCTACTACTTATTATAGCACCGAAAGCGAGACCGTCTACTGCCATTTCACGGAAGAACAATTAAGGACTATCTACAAGCGTTTTAGCTACTTTTTAGCAAGTCGATTTGCTATTGTTTTTAAAAAGGCCGAGCACGAATTCAAACGGGATTTGCTTTATAACATCTAAAAGTTTTGCTACTATTGTTAAGTATTCGAACGCTCTTCGAAGAGGTTTAGTATTAGATTTAAAGATGATACTAACTTTAATAATACGGTATACGTCGATGTGATACACTTTAACGGCAAGAACGTATTGCACGTCGTTTGCGACTTTATTAATTTTTAAGCCGCTACTTTTTTTAAAAGCATATCCGTATAACACTTATTTAAAGGATTCAGTCGATATTAAGTCAATACTTACGTCGGACTTTTTATAAACGTAATACACGATTTCGAAACCAACTTCAATTTAACAACGTTCCGAAGATACTTTAAGAGTATTAGCAGCACTTTAAAGCAGATGCTTGTAAAAGCTTATCATAGCGTCGAGCTAATAAAACGCTATTACGTCTTTGTGCGACGCGCTTTTGAGATCGTTATAAAAGAGCTTTTAAAGGCCTTAAAAGAAGACCGGCTTTAAATAGCTATCAAAGCTATCAACGATACAGCTGGACTTAATAGCTTGGTTCTTATACTCTTCGTTTTTAAGACTTTATTAAAATTGACGGAACAAAATCGATTTGTTGCGTTTACTTAAAAGCGTGCTGCTGCTATTAACAAAGCTATAAAAGAAGTACGAAAATGCTACGCTACAAAGCAAGTTAAAGACGCGCTTAAAAGAAGGAATAAGCTAATTACAAAACATACCTTAGACCTTTTTATTAGTTTACAAGTACTCGTGTGGCAAGAAAATCAAAGATAAAAAAGCCTTTTTCAGCTGCTTAACAGGTAAAGCTATACGTGCATAGTGGCATGTCCGAGACTTACGGAATTCAGGTTAACTTTAATAAAACCTTATTACTTTAAAGTTGAAAAGCTGCTAAAGGAGTTGCAAGTACTTGAGGTAGAAGTGAAAGAAGATCAGAGCGAAGGCGAAAAAGAGCTGGAACCGCTAAATTCGCTTAAACCTTAACATTCGCTTAATCTATTAAGAAGCTCGCTAAGATTAATAAACAACTTTCTTAACTCTCAACTTGTCAATTCTTAGAGATTAATAATATTAATAATCTAGATACTTTACTAGAAGTACGATCTTAATATCTCGACCGTGCTCGATAAAGAAGAGGGCGATTCTTACGTTCTATTTATTAAAGACTCCGAAGTATAGATTACCGATAAAGAACGCCGAGATTATAAGCTCTTAGTTAAGCTGCGCGCCGAAAGGATCATCAAAAGCCTTAAGGCACTATTTCAAGAGTTTAAAGCAAAGGAATTAGCTAAATTAATAGCTTAAAGCATCTTTTAAGTGATCTCGAGCATCGACTTACGAGTTAAAAGCGTTAAGATCTTCGGATTTAAGTTTGTTAACGAGATCAAAAGCAAAAGAACACTTACGCTATACGAGAAGTCTCGTATAATAGTTTAAGCTTTTTAAGATAAAAGCAAAACGAAAGTACTTATCGAGTCACTTACGGTGCAACGAGCGGGCTAAAGACTTTGTTGTGCTTTAGCTCTTTCTTTAATAAAAGATTACGAGTGTTAAATCTATAGCAAGGATATCACTTAAGCTTATACTTAATCAAGCACGAAGCTCATTTGAATAATCGTCGTGCGACTACTTAAAAAGATCACTTATTGATTCTTTTTCGGCACTTTGTTTTTTATGACTAGCTTTTTGTATAAGATCCTCGAAGCAAGAACGCATTAGTATAAGCGTTTTTCAAAGCATTTCACGGACAACTTCGAGATAAAGTAATCGAGCTTTGATTCTTGCTTTTTTATATTAATTAATAAAGATCAATTAAGAATAGCTGCTTTATAAACGGATAATGTTCTTATAATTGTTAATCTAGCTATAAAAGCAAAGAAAGAAAAAGAGCTAATTAAATCTAAGCTAAGGAGCAAAGAAGTAAAGATCTTTATACACGTTGAACTAATGATTTTCAATAAGTGCAAGCTATTTTTAAATAAAGACGGGTTCGAAGTGTTAGTTGGTTAAAAAAGGCAAAGTAAGAGGCTTGCAGTAATCAAGCTCGATTCAGCTACACGGGTTAAAGAGTACTTAGAGCAACGTGCTCGAAAGGCGTATTTAGCTATTATTTACTACTTAAAAGCATCTTGTGCTTTATCGATAGCTGTTTAGCATTAAAAACCGAAGGACGAGGACTACAAAGCTTTTAATAAGGTGATCTAATAGCTGATCGATCACTTAACTCGAAAGATCTATTACGTACTTTTAGACTTAAGGACGGCGAAGCTCTTTGTGTTCATAGACGGAGCGTTTGCTAACAACGCTGACTTTAGCTCTTAAATCGGTTTCGTAGTTATCTTTAGTAATAAAGCTCACGTAAGTAAGAACGAGTTCACTTTAACGGGTAACATCTTTTATTAAGTGTCACAAAAGTGCAAGAGGGTGACAAGAGCAGTATTAGCTTTTAAGCTATACGCTATATCTTTAAGTATCGATATAGCTATTGTTATATCGACCACCTTTGCTTAAATCATAACTTAACTAAAAGTACTTAATTTCCTCGTAGTTGTGTGCATTAACTCTTACTCGCTTTACGAGTGCATAATAAAGCTAAAGACTATTAAAGAGAAGCGCTTAATAATCGATATTATAGCTATTCGAGAGTTATACGAAAGGCGGGAGTTCTTTAAAGTACGCTAGATCGAAGGAAAATCTAACCTTGCTAACGCTATAACTAAAGTCGAGGCTAATACTTCTTTGCAAGAGCTAGTTTTGATCAATACTTTAAAGGTGCAAGTGAACGGGTAAATAGAAAGGCCGCTGTAAAAGAAGAAAGGATAAGATTGTTTTTCTTTTGTTTAATTACTTTCTTTCTTTTTCGGTCGATATAATAGTTAGCAAGGCACTGCTTGCTAAAGAGAGAGTTGCCGGTATCGGTATATTTATATCGACTTTAGCTAATAGTAGTAGTAGTAGTAGTAGTAGTTAAGGAAGCTCACTCGTGAACTATAGTTCACGGGCCACTTGGCATGCTTCGCTTAGCATATCAAGCAATCAAGGGACCCTTAACTTGATAAGTAAACTTATTAGCTAGCTAGTGCACGTGATTCCTTTTAATCGTATAGAAGGAATCAGCTCTTTTGAGCCTTAGGGAGCAAACAGAATTCAGATACCTTATCAACCGAGTGTTTTGCAATTGCAAGTACTTTGACGACTTTACGAAGTTACGAATATATTCTTAATCGCTTAGAAGCAATCCAACAAATTGTTTTATAATACTAGAATTAGCGAGCTTCTTTGCCGATACTAACGTACACCTTAAGCTAAGGATATGCAATATATCTTTTAAGTAGATAGTTCTTCCGCTTTACAATAATATTTTAATAGTCTTAATATTATTCGAATAAAGCTTTCTTTTTTTAACTTAAATACCTTTTCGGTATAAAATTAATAGTTTGCTAAATAAAGATAAAGAATCAGTCATATAGCTAATGCATTTAATATCGGCAGCTGTTAGTATAAGTAAGAGCTTATTACGCTTCTTTCAAGATAAGCTAACGAACTCTTCGATGTTAAAAGCTTCGCTTAAAGAGTCAGATCTTATGTCGGCAGCGAATCTTTTCTTATTTTTGCGAAAGCTATTAGATCTACTTCGAGCACGCTAATTAGACTTTGTCTCGTAAAGTAATAAAGAGTTAGTTTTGTACGAAAAGCTAAAAGATATTAATCGTCTTTTAAGCAATAGTAGTTAGTATGTCCGCGAAGCTTTATTAGATTCTTTTCTTTTTTTAAAAATGCGAGCAGCTTTAGCAGCTTTGAAACTAATCTTAGCGAATTAGCATATAAGACTAACATGCTTGCTAGAACCGCATTTAAAGCATTCCGCCTTAAAATTAAGAAATTAAGATTAGCGGCGACTGCGTGATTGCCGGCTTAAAAGAGTTCGTTTATAAATTGTTTATCGGCTAGCTATATAAGCTCTTTCGTCACTTGAATAATAAGTTGCAAAT